TGGGTCACGACTCTCGCGGCCTCCGCCGGCGTCGCCGAAGATGTAGATGGGCTGCTCGCGCGCGCCCACTCCTCGCCAGTGGTGCTCCAGCTCTCGTGCCCCTGCGGCGCCTCCACAAAAAGCCAGGCGGCTGGGATGGGACCTCTGGTCCAGAAGCGGGCGTCTGCCTCCCCCTGGGCGTAGGCTTCTCCAACATACTTCTCTGTTGACTGATGTATGTCATGTTCGCATCGGCCTTCGCAGGCCCACGCGCGATGAAATGCTGTCTCTCGATGACCGCGACAGCGAAGGCATTCTTGCGACATCTCCTGCTTGGCTCGCTCCTGCCGCCGCGTGCGGGCCACGTGGCCCCTACTGATATAGCAAGCATAAGGCCTGCGAGCCGTCGTCCACCAGGAGCTCCCTCCAGGTGTTGCAGGAGCCGTCGGTATGACTGATTGCAGGCCCCACCTTCAAGAACTGCTCCTTTGTAATGCTGGACTGCACGCTTCCACCAATCATTCTGAACTGTGCGCTCATACTCGTCGAAGAAAGCGCTGGGGGCGTCTAAGTGCCCAATGCCTTTGAGATTGTCAACTAAAAAACTGCCAGGTGTGCTCTTGACCGTCATCCGTGGCTGGGGCGGTCCAACTGGTCGGCGAGTCGGGCCGCCACCCAGCTTGCAGCAGGTAGCAAATCACCGCGCCCTGAGGTCCGCGGATCTGCCGTGCCCTCTGGTTTGGTGACAAAGCTCCAAGCTCATGGGTTAGTCCTGGCCGCGTGCGCACGACGCTGTCACGCATGGTCGGCTGACGAAACCAGCGAGATAGCCACAAGCGAAGACACACTCGTGGGAGCTTGCATGCGGGATCTCTGCCAACTGCCTTCAACTCAACCAGAGTGGTGAGGCATCGCCCCGACATAATCGGTCCAAGAGTGTTGCCCAACTTCTTGGGAAACTGTGTCATGGCATTTCCGAAAACGCCGTGAAGCTGGTGCCCGTAGGCACCAGCTGCTTGCGCACCCTGCTGCTCCAGCCTTGACGTGAGACCGTGACGGCGGGTGGCTCTGACATATTTGATGACGCGCTTGTGCATGGCTTTATGCTTGGCCTGTCGAGCTGTCCGACTGGCACGTGCATGGTGCAGCCCTCCACCGAGGTCGGCACCCAGGTACAGCGCCTGCGGCGCAGCTTTGATCACAAATCCATGAGGACGAACTCGTCTGACGATGGCCTTGGCGTCGTCCAACTTCGCGCATGCTACAATACTTTTCGGCGGGATAGAAAGACCAGCTCGTCGCATGGATCTGCACGTATCCACAAGGCACCGCACGAGCTTATTGCGCGTCGTCTCCCTGGTAATATTGACCGACTGGCTGAGATCGTCGATCCATAATCGCTGAGACATACCCACGTTCACCGTCGTCAGCCGATGCATGGCGTGGTACGTCGCGCGCTTGGCGAAACGCGTGTCTCCGCGGAGGCCCTGAACAACTGACCGCAGCGGCGCGAATTGCTCCGAGTAGGCGCCCGACTGGCGCAGGCACCGCGCCGCCATGCACTGCATCAGCTCCAACCCCAGCACCTCCGCGGGGAAGTCGAGCCGCGTCGCGGTCTTGCCGACCATCAGCCACCCGATCGTGTCATAGAACTGGCACATGTCCAGCAACCCGTTCTCGTGGCTGATCTTGAGCCTCGCCGCTAACTCCTCGTCGATCGCTCTCGAGAAAGCTTCGCGGATCGTTGCATTTCCTTTGATGGCCGCGCCCCACAATGAGCCTCGCACTCAGAGGCCCACTGCTTCGCATGTGTCTCTCGAGTCTGCGACCACACGCGCGACAGGTGCGGAAGAAGCCCAATAATTCTGTCTCCTGGTAATTTCTTCGGGAGAAGAGTTCCGGTCGTAAGTGAAACTTGCCGTGGCCAGGTCTGGGCGGCCTCGCGCGCATTGAGCAATGCCGACATCGCCTGTAAAGCCTCGTCGGGCAAGCGGAGAAGGTCGCGCGAGCTCAGGCGGTCCACCCCCATGGCTGCCGTCGCCTTGATGGGTTTCAAGGCTTCACGTAAATCCTGCACTGTCAGTGGCGGCAGTGACTCATACTGAACTCTCGCGCGGATCTCGCGGAAGAGCACCTCGAGATCTGCAAACTCGATGCTGGACCCGTCAGTTGTCAAGAAAGCGGGGGCCCAGACCTTCTCGAGATTGTTTTTTTATCCTCTGGGGGGTAACGCTCGTTACCCGGGCCTCGCCCCCCCCCCCCCCCCCCCCCCCCCCCGCTCGTACGCGGGGGGGGTCTCGGTCTTCCCCTCCAACATGCTGGTGCCCGAAGGCATGCGCACTGTGGTGTGGTGGTCGCAGGCGCACTGTGGGCGCTCGCAGGCCATTGCGGCGCTCGCATGCGCGATGCTGGTGCTTGCGGGCTTTGCGCTTGTACTCGAATCGTCGTCGTCGTCGTCGTCGTCGTCGTCGTCGTCGTCGTCGTCGTCGTCGACGGCGCCCGAAAACGGCCTCCGGAGGCCGAAACAGGCGGCAAACGTCGTCGTCGTCGTCGTCGACCTCGTCGCTCGTCGCTCGTCGATCATCGTCGTCGCGCGCGCGGGCGCGGGCGTGGTGCCGGGACCACGCGGCGGGCTTTGCGCTTGTACTCGAATCGCAAGCCACTGTGGTGCTCTCAGGCAGAGAGTGCTGCTCGCGCGCATACTATGGCGATCGCAGAGCGCCCCTGCTTCGCCATACCCCGCCCAGCCCAAGCGTTACCGTTACCCGGGGGGCACGACCCCCCCCCCCTCCCGGGTAACGAGCGTTGCCGGCCGGAATAAAAAAATGATCTCCTCCCACTCTCGACTCTTATGATCAAGAACGTTTCTCGGGTGTAGCATGGCCTGGCCGTCGACGACAACATCCTTGACCTCGGGCATGGGGTCCTTCAGCTCCTTGTGTAGGATGCCGGTTGCTGGTGCCGTCTCTGCCCATTCACGAAATTCTCTCATGGCCTGACCGATGGCGTGCCTCTGACTGCGGCTCGCCAACTTCTCGATGGCCTGAGAGCTGGCACCCAAAACAGCCAGCTCGCCTCCACGAAGGTGGGCCAACAAATGAGTCCAGTAATCCCACTGATACCGGCCCGTGGGACGAACAATCTGAGACGTTGGCTCAGGGATGTCGTCCAACAAACGTCGGCCTGCGCCGTGCAAAATATTGAGTTGCTTGGTACCTCCAGCTCTCCGAAGATGTCGTGTAATACTGTTGATGACTGTGCTGGCCCGTGCCCACCAGCTGCAGACTCGATCACGTAACGGTGCTACTCTCGTCGGCGTGGCCTGCTGGACACACGCCTCTTGAAACTGAGGTGCCGATCCACGTGGCACTCCAGAGAAGACCTGCTTATGGTGAGTGTGCATGGAGGCTTCAACTGTTCGGATCCAGCTTGCGCACAAGGAGCTCAACACAGCCGGATCGTTTGAGCCGAGGCGGTAGGCTGCGGCCCCAGCAATCGCAGAGGCAGGGGGGGCAGGCAGAGGCAGGAGTGAACCCGATGTCTGTCTTTGCTCGAGCCACGTGCTGCTGGGAACGTGAAAATCGGGCTGCCACTTTAGCGTGTCGGACGGCCCCACGGAAGACGACCCTTGGGCGGCTGGGCCTGGGGGGCCCAACGGCTCACGCGGGGCCGAATTATCACTATCCGATTGTCCGACTGATTGAACAGGTGCAAGGCCCGAGAGAGGCGGGGCGGCCCGGGGCGGCCGCGGGTCTGAAAACCGTCTCGTCCGCCCAGGGGTCGTCCTCCGAGCAGCCCTCCCACTCGTCGCCTGAGGAAGCGGGTTCACCGCCGTCCTCGCAGTGGGTGCCCACGTCACTGAGGGCCGAGGGTCGGGAGGGCGAGGATGGGGCGAGACCAGAACCCGAGCCGCAGATATCTTCCGCCTCCTCATCTAAGCCGAGCCCTTGGGAAAACCAAGACTTAAAACATGAATCACGCTTCTGCTTGGCCTCCAACCTTGAAAACGCCCTCTTGGTCTTGGCAATGCTGGCCTTGGAGCCAGGGGTCGCCTGAGAGAAGGGGCTTGCAGACCCGGGGGAGGCGATCGGGGATACCGAGATACCTAGTGTACAGCTGAGCTCCCTGAGACACCAACTCGGTGCTGAGACCGATGTGTGATTTCCAGGGCGCTGCGACAACGGGCAAAACGTGGCGTGCATATGCACGCGCCATATGACCCACTATCAAGTAATCTAGATGGCTTGGCGCTCTTCCTCCTGCTGGCGTGCGCGTGAACTGCGCATCTGAACGACCTATCTGACCTCCAACGCGCTCCAGCCACCCTGAACGAACTATGCTCTCTGGTGACAGGTTCCAGTCTGCTGCAACGATCTATGGAATCTGTAAAGGCCGAAGAAGACATCCTAGTTTCCTGAAGAGTGCAACGTTAACATCACGGAATGTGATGCCTGAATGTCCGTAGAAGTAAAAGACGGCCAGGGAAAACCCCCTCATGTGAGCGACACACGGCACGAACCCATCGCACATGTTGCCACGCTCAGCACGGACGCCGCCTGCAGAACGAGCTTCAGCCAGAAGTTGAACAGGCCGATGATTGCTAGTGAGAAGCCACTCGCCCCCTCGTTGCTATGGCTGTCCATCTGCTCGTCAGGCTTGATCCACTTGGACTTCGGCCGAGCAGGATTCGCGAACAGCTTCATCGACGCTTGACGAGCACGAGTGGACCACTTGCTCGTCGCTTGCTTCCCGATGTGTGTCTCGCACACGGCTAGAAAATCATGACTGGACGACATTGCCTCGATGAAGTTCCAGGCCTTGTCGCCCACGCATGTGACGTTCGAGAAACACATCCTTGTCGTGGTAGTAGCGCCAGGAGAAGCACTGGCTCCCCCTTGCTGCTGACTCGCCGCAGCAGCATCGGCACTTGCCGCGCCTAGTCAAGAGCTGCCGCCGCCAGCGCCTCCCGCGCCAGCAGCGCCTCCAGGCTTGGCCGCGGCCTTCGGAGCTGCGGCGTTGCCCTTGCCCATTGCCTTGGCCGCTGCCGCCGCCTTGAACCGCTCCTGCGACAGCTCGTCGGCCTCGGCCTTGAGCTCAGCCTCCGATGGCTGCGCCGCGGCGTGCGCGGCCACCGCCGCGGCTGACTGTGGGCCGCCGCTCGGGCCGCCACCGCCAGCTCCGTCGCCTGGGCCGCCAGCCGCGGCGCCCTCGTCTGTCTTGCGCCTCTTCTGCATCCTGCTGAGGACCTCCTGCTCTGCCTTGGCGACCTTCTCCAGGAACTGCTTGAGCTCCGCGTCCTTGGACTCGAAAATCTGCTTCCACGTCTCTAACTCCGACTTGGGCTGACGCAAAGCCTGCTTGTCGGTCTCCTTACACCCCCATTCCTCGAACTTGTCGAAGACCTCGGGGTTCATCTAAATACTACTAATAATCGGCGTCTTGCCGTCAGCGCCGCTGGGCGCCGTTTCCTCCGAGCCTTGGACGCCCTCCGCCTCGGCCAGGGCGGCGGCGGCGTCCTTCTTGGCCCGCTCGGCAAGGGCCAACTCCTTGGCCGCGCTCTGCTCCTTGGCCTCGGCGGCCTGGAGCTGAGAGCGCAGTCTCAGCACCTGCGACACCAGCTGCTCGTGCCGATGGCTAGCCGCCCGCCACGCCCCGTCGGCACGCTTGACCGACTCGGCCGCCGTCTGTCCAGACGCGGCGGGGAGCGCGGCGAGGCGGTTCCGCTGGGCAGCGAGCGCCGTCCTCATCTCCTCGTCCTGCGCCGTGCGCAGGGCCTTCTCCAAAAACTCGTCCAGCTGCACGGCGGCCAGATCCTTGCTCTTGCGTCCTCTGTCGCGTGAGCGATTGCTGCCGGCACTGCTGTTCTCCCAGTCGGACTCGTCCTCGAAGTGCACATGGCGGGAACCGTGGGGTTTGAACAGCTTCTTGATCTGATGGCTGCAGCCTGGGCACTGCATGTTGTTGGAGCGAAGCTTGTCATTGTACTCGCACTTCTGGCAATTGCCGCAACGTGTCCATGGTCTGGCACGTGGCGGAGACATCCCTGCTTTCGCGAACACATGCAAATGTGTCAGAGATACAAGTGAACACATTCAAGCACCACCATGAGGTACAGGGAAGGGCTCGCGCGGAAACGGGTGCGCAGTGGCCCCCAGGCCACTGACCCACTTGTTCGAGCCCAAGTGCCTTGAGAGGAGGAGGAGGAGGAGGAGAAGGAGGAGGAGAAGGATGAGGAGGAGGACGGGAACGGGCCACGGTCACAGCAGATAAATTCAGCAGGCCTTCCTTGTTCGCGTCCTCCTCTGCTCCCCTCCCGCGTCTCGCCCGCACCTCTCGGGAGGGCCCCCCCTCTCCCAACAGCATCCCCTCCCGAAAGGGAGGAGAAGGAGGAGGAGGAGGAGGAGAAGCAGGAGGAGGAGGAGGAGGAGGAGGAGGAGGAGGAGGAGGCGGGGGGGAGGAGCAGGAGGAGGAGGAGGAGGAGGCGGAGAAGCAGTAGGACGAGGAGAAGTAGGAAGACGACGACAACGAGGACGAGGACGAGGAGGAGGAGGAGGAGTTTCCTTTACGCAGGTGTGTGTGTGTGGTGCTCCTCCTTCTGCTGTGGATCGAGTTTCCTGACAGACAGTGCGCGGCTACTTCAACTCGCCTGTGGGACTCTTCAGGCCAGAATTCGACGTCGAACGATGGTCGTCGGCCGGCGTATGGGCGGATGGTCAGAGATTCAGTGTGCAGTGCTGGATCGTCTCCCTTTCTCTCTTCCCTCCTCCCTACCTCCTGCCTGCTCCCCCCTCCTCCATCCCATCTTCCTCTCCCCACCCCCACATTCATCTGCGCCATCCACCGTCTTATCTTCGAATTAATCCTTCTATCCCTCCCTGTGCGCTCTCCACCTTCGTCTCTGTTGTCATGATTCATCCTCCCACCTCTATCCTTCCCTAGTCGACCGCGCCATCCACCTTCCTCCCTGCTATCCCCTCCCTCCCTCCTCCCATTCCTCTCTCACTTCTCCTCTCCCTCCTTCCCTCCCTCCCTCTCTCCCTCCTCCTTGGCCCCTCTCCCCCCTCCCTTCCCTCTCCCCTCCCTCCTTCCCCACTGCCTCACGCGCCTTGCCCAAAGGGGCACAGACACGCGGGTTTCGTCGACGCATGAGCCTGCACTGGCGCCTCGCTCGCTCGCTGGCTCGCCCTCCCTCGCCCCCTCCCTCCTGCTCCCTCCCTCCCCTCCTCCCCTCCCTCCCTCCCCCACGTCTGCCTTCTCCCTCCTCCCCCCCTCCCTCCCTCCCTCCACCGTCTGCCCTTCTCCCCTTCTTCCTCCTCCTCCTCCTCCTCCTCTCCTCCTCCTCCTTGTCACCCTACTCCTCCTCCCCCTCCTCCCCCCCCCTCCTCCTCCTCCTCCTCCTCCTCCCCCTCCTCCTCCTCCTCCTCCTCCTCCTCCTCCTCCTCCTCCTCCTCCGGCCCACGCGGCGATCCCGCGGAGGCCGCCGCCGCGAGCAGGCCGACGGCGATGACCATCCAGTCGGAGGACGCCTCCCAACGACGAGGGAGGGTGGGGAGCAACGACGAGGGGCTGGGGGAGGAGGAGGAGGAGGACGAGGAGGAGGAGGAGGACAAGGAGGAGGAGGAGGAGGAGGAGGAGGAGGAAGACGAGGAGGAGGAGGAGGAGGAGGAGGAGGAGGAGGAGAAGGAGGAGGAGGAGGAGGAGAGGAGCAGGAGCAGGAGCAGGAGGAGGAGGAGGACGAGGACGAGGAGAAGCAGGAGGAGGAGGAGGACGACGACGACGACGACGACGAGGACGAGGAGGATGAGGAGAAGGACGACGAGGAGGGTGGGAGGTCGTCGTCGTGGTGGTTTGTGTGAGGGTCCGGGACCCCCTCGGGCAACGTGCTGCTTATGCGCACCGCCTCGGGGGGCCAGTACACGGCGGGGGAGGTCCCTCCCTGGGGAGGCGGCCCCGGACGCCGGGAGGGGGGCGGGGCATGGGGGGAGGTCGGGGAAGAGGCGAGGAGGAGGAGGGGGGGGTGGACGACCCCGCCCCCCGTCGGGTGGGGGGGAGGGGGGCGGGGGGGAGGTCGGGGCGAGGAGGAGGGAGCTTGGGGGACCCCGCCCCCGTCGGGTGGGGGGTGCAGGGGGGCGGGGCGGGGGGGAGGTCGGGGAGGAGGCGACGAGGAGGAGGGAGGTTGGAGGACCCCTCCCTTCCCCGTCCGCCCCCCGTCGAGTTGAGGGGGGGCAACGGCGTGTTCCCTCTTCGCAAGTCGGGAAGAGCCCCATCGAAAGCCAATATGATGATCCACAAACGTGCCAACCCGCCATTCCTAGGACTTCAATGCCACGAATGAACGTCGACTGTTGCGCCCTGACGATCTCATACCGCACCAGACATTGTCCCGGAACTGCCAAAACTTCGAATCAATGTGACTCTTGTGTCCTGACAGTGTTTAAACGCGTCAGAATGCCATTCCTGGGACTTCAACCACACGACGGGCTGCTGCAGCAGTTTACGACGAAGGTGCGCGGCGCTAAGGTGAGAGCCACAGTTTGACAAGGAACCGCCCTACATCTTTGAAGCTGCTGCGAACTTTTAAGGCGAATGTTCGCGGCGGTGAGGCCAGAGCCACATTCTGGAAAGGAGCCGCCCTCCATCTTTGGCACTGCAAACTTTGAAGACAAACGTGCGCAGCGCTAAGGCGAGAGCCACACGTCACCCGCCTTCCATGTTTGACACTGCTGGACATGTTAGCAATGAATGTGCGCGGCGCTGAGGCGAGAGTCACAGATTTGAAGCGACCCGCCCTCCATTCTTGAAGCTCTCTGCAGACTTAAAAGCTGCAGGGTCATACGTGGGGAGGTGGACTCGGGCGAAACGCTCAGCCCGCCATGCGTGGCGACATGTCGAGGGTTGCCACCGGGAGGAGGTATGTATAAGGAAATGGAATGGAGGAGGGAGGAGGAGGAGGAGGAAGAGGAGAAGGAGGAGGAGGAGGAGGAGCAGGGGGAGGAGGAGGAGGAGGAGGAGGAGGAGGAGGAGGAGGAGGAGGAGGTGGAGGGAGCGGGAGGAGGAGGTGGAGGAGGAGGAGGAGGAGGAGGTGGAGGGGGGCGGGGTGAGGAGGGGAGCGCTGGCGCCTCACGTCTGGTGCGCCTCCTGCTCCTCCTGCTGCTGCTGCTCCTCCTCTTCCTCCGCCTCCTCCTCCACCCCCTCCTCCGCCTCCTCCCCCTCCTCCTCCACCTTTCTCTCATCCTCATCCTCCGTCGTTTCTCCTCTTCCTCCCTCCCTCCCTTCTTCCCCGCCCCATTCTCTTCCTCCCACTCGCCCTGCCTCCATCTCATCTCCACGCGCGGAACACTTCAAATGCACAAATGGTCCGACATCGTGGTCTCTGTGAAGCATGATGCCGTGTCTGCGTGTCAGGCATCCACGCGCATACGGTCCTGACCAGACGTTTGAAGAGGACCCGCATAGTATACTCTAGCGGCTGGACCCGTTTAGGCAGGCGTGTCAGTCTGACGAAGGTGCCCTGCGGAGGGATGCAGCGTTACGCTATGGCATGAGGGCTTGTCAGCGTGTTGTCGAGAATGTGAGAATTCCGCTCTTCGATCTGGCCTGCCAGCGCGTTTTTTAGCTTGCCATCGGATTGCCCGCAGTTGTTCTCTTTGTGTGTGTGTCTACCCCTGTCGTCTTACTTTCCTTTAGGCTGCCTCTGGCTGTTCAAGATGTGCTTGCCTTCCGGGTTTCAGGTCTGGTTCGTCTTGACATTGTTGTTGGCGTGTTTATCACTTGCTATCTTCTCGTCTGAACCATACCTTCAAGCATACCTTGCGCGCGGCGCTCGTCTCTTGCTGTCTGATGGTTTGCCCTAAGATCGTTTTCGGGTGTCATCGGGATTGCCTCTAGCCTCTAGCTTGCAGGTGGAGCTGTCATCTTGCACGTGGCTTTCGTGTTGAGCCTGCCTTCGGTTTGCTTGTCTTTTGACCCCACGCGTCTCCCAGGAAGCGGAACGAAACGAGAAGAGGGAGGATGACGGAGGATGCGGAAGAAGTGAGCAAGGAGGAGGAGGAGGAGGAGGAGGAGGAGGAGGAGCCAGGGCATGAGGATCGCCAGCAACAGAAGGAGCAGGAGGAGGAATACAAATAGGATGGGGGAGCAGAAAGAGGAGAAGGATAATACACGAGGAGAAGTATGATAATGAGCATAGGGGACAATCGGGGAGAAGGAAGGGGCGGGGAGGACGAGCGGGGAGAGACCTTGAGTATGTACACTCCAGTCTGGTGCCCAGGCTGACCTGGGGCCTGCACTTTGCTTCCGCAGCGGGCCCCTGGCGGTCCGACCCTGTCGCCCGCCGCGCGCAAGCGGATCGTCGCTGACCTGGCGCTCCTCGCCTTCGGCCTTCTGGCGTCGCCTCTGCAGCGACCGCTGACACAGTCAAGACGCTGGCTGCACCAAGGGCCACTTCCTGGGCATCGCTCGGACGTGTGCACTTTTCCTTCGGCGAGGACCATCGAGGAGCATCCTCGATCCCTTGGCGAAAAAACCACGCACGAGGCCGACAAGAACACACAGGGAATGGACGTCCGAGCGATGGCGAGCTTCGGGCTCGGGAGGGGCCCTGGTCTTCGGGCCCTTCCTCGGGCCGGGTTTTCGGGGAGCCTCTTCGTGGCCTCCTCCTCCTCCTCCTCCTCCTCCTCCTCCTCCTCCTCCCTCCTCCCTCCTCCCTCCTCCCTCCTCCCTCCTCCCTCCTCCCTCCTCCCCACCGTGGCCAGGCGAGCCCCTTCGCTCCTTACCCGGCGCTCCTCGTGGCAGCACGACCCCAGACCTGCAGCCGCTCCGATGTTTTCGATGCGCGGGCCCCGGAGGCCTGGACCAGCTCGGGACGAAACGCCAGCCCTATAGGGCTGGCGTTTCGTCCCGAGCTGTCTTGCTGAACGGTCCCGAGGCCGGCGAGGGCTCCCGGCGGCCAGAACTGGCCCAGAGCCCGCCGCTCCTATTTCCGTTGTTGGAGCGTCGGATCTCTGGGACGACCGCTTGGCCGTCCTCGAGGCACGCCCGGGCCGGACGGAGCACCCGATGCGCTCCGCGGGAGGCAGCCATTGTAGGCTGCTGCGTCTGCTGCCCGCCCCCGGCGCGCGGGTGGGCGTGGACGTCTTGGGCGTCGGCGGTGGGTGTGGGGGGGGGGAGGGCGATGAATGGGGAGCAGCGAGGGCTGCAGAAAAGAGGCCCTTCAGGGCTCCGAGAAAGGAGCCCTTCGGGGCCCCCGAGGAGGCCCTGGGGCCCCAAAGGTGCACCTTGCTTTGCCCCCCCTTGCATGATGCTCCAGGACTCGCACTCCTGCGCAGCCCTGGGGGGAAATCCTCCTCCTCCTCCTCCTCCTCCTCGTCGTCCTCCTCCTCCGTCCTCCTCCTCCTCCTCCTCCTCCTCCTCCTCCTCCTCCTCCTCCTTCTCCGTAGCCATTTTGGCTCAAGATGCCATGTTCCTCGGGGGAACAAGTGGACACCGCTAGTCCGCGGCTGGCAAGACCCTTGAGGTCTGGCAGTGCTTTTCTCCACACCTGCGCTCGAGTTGGTGGGTAAACGGATGCATTTCCCGTTCCTGCCCTCTCGAACGCCCAGATACATTCATGGGCGGTGACCGCAATGGCGGACTGCAGGCCGTTCGCGGCCCCAAGAGGAAGATCAAGAAGATTCGCCGATGTCAGGCTGAAGGCGCTGCTGTCGTCGATGAGGGCGATGATCTGGCTGCTGGCTCAGACATTCCTGTCCATCCTACCACTGGGGCTTCTTCCACTGCGGCCCCTGCTGCTGGGGATGATGATGGTGAGGACATCAACAGCGAGGACGAGTGGACGAAAGACGATTACATCAAGCAATTTGCAGGGGACTGCGTCTCCAAGAAGATGGCCGAGCACATGGACGAGCCCACCAGAGACCTCACCAAAGTGGTCTCCGCGACAGTCTCGGACCAGATCCAGGACTTCGCTGCTCAGCTTACTGAGCACTCTCGTGCTGCTGGGAAGCTTGCAGAAGGAGCACAACAACTTCCAGCCATGGCCAAACAAACATCCGAGCAATTTTGTTCCGAGAAGCTGGATGCCTTCTACCGCAAGTTCCAAGAACAGTTGGACGGCCACTCCGTGCGACTCCGTGCTGTTGAGAACAGACTGGATGGCCGCGACTCTGAACTGCAGATTCTTCGGGAACAAACTCAAGAACTCCGCGCTGCTCTCGCGATCGCCAACGTCCAGCCCAAGCCGCCTCTCGCCAGTGCTGCAGGCTTCGACAGGGATACCGACGCGACGATCATTCGCGCCATGGCGTCCAAGCTGGTGGACTTGTCAGCAGCACAGCAAATCATGTCGGATTGGATCGTCAGCTGCGGAATCAAGGCCCAGTTCTTCACGATCTCATCCAGCGAGCAGGTCGCCAAACAGTTCACTGTCCAATTCCCGGGGGCAGCCGGGCCTGCCGCTCGCCGTGTCTCTCAAGTCCTCGGTGCTCAACGGCTCGGTCCTGGTCAATGGAAAAGATTCGAGG